CCCCTTTGGATGTCAGTGTGGTGATTTCTCAGAAAATTAGGAAACAACCTTCATCAAGACCCAGTAATACCACTTTTGGGTATATATCCAAAGGATGCTCAATCGTGCCACAAGGACATGTGCTCAACTATGTTCATAGCAGCATTGTTTGTCATAGCCAGAACCTGGAAACAACCTAAATGGCTCTCGACCAAAGAATGGATAAGGAAAATGTAGTATATTTACACAATGGAGTTACTACACAGCAGAAAAAAATAATGGCATCTTGAATTTTGCAGGCAAATGGATGGACCTAGAAAACATCATTTTGAGTGAGGTAACCCAGACCCAGAAAGACAGTTATCACATGTACTCACTCATAAGTGGTTTTTAAACAGCTGCCCACTGTCTTCTGGGCTCAGGTAAAATGCAACAAATGCAGGTGTGAGATGCCCTCACCTGAGCGGCTACTGTGGCACTGAAGGCTCAGCCCTGAAGTAATCAGGAGGCGGCTCTGGAACGTCAACCCTGCTCTAAAGCGGGGCGCTGTCAGAGAAATATCTATTGCTGCTTCTTTCCCGGACTTGCAAGCAGAGTGCTCACTCTTGGCGAATGTTTCCAAAGCATTCTAGGTGCTGATCAAACACTGCCGTGAGACTAGCCGTGTCTCTTTGGCACCTTTGGGGATAGCGGTACTTCGCATGCTAACTGTCTCCCTTCTCCATGTCCCCCTGCCCAGATCACCGAAATTTTCACCATTCCAGTAAAGTCCCCAAGGAATTGTAGTTCTTGTCTCAGGCTTTGATTTCTAGAGGACCTGGGACTGACATAAAGAGAAAAAAAAAAGACAAATTCTTGATGTCTGTTTTTAAGTAGACATGTCACCAGAAAGGACGCTTGGATGGCAGGTAAGCACATAAAACGATGTTCAACATCCTCTGTAGAAACAAACTCAGAGTGTGGGCCACGACCCACTAAAACATCTCGCCTGGAGAAAGACTGATCACACCTGCTGCTGATGCAGGTGGGGTGGGGGGACCCAGAACTCTCATGTTCCGCTGGTGGAACTGTACAATGGTATTATTACTTTGGAAAACAATGTTACGCGCTCTTAGAAAGTTAAGTCTACACTGATCACATGACACAGACATTTCCTCTACAAAAAATAAAGACATCTGTCCACATGGAGAGACTGTTTTGCAAATGGCCGTGGAAGATTTCTTTGTGATTAGCCCAAGCTGGAGCCATCTACCAGCAAGTGAGTAGATAAACAGACTGTCATGTGAAGTTTCACTGGAGTGCTGATCGTCAATAAAAAAAAAAGTAGCGGGCTCTTCAGGCATGCAATAAGATGCTTGAACCTCAGAGAAATGAGATTGAGTGAGAGAAGACAGATAAAACGGGGAATATTGCATGGTTACATTTATGTAAATGACAAGAAATTGAAAAGTAGCCTAGCCGTGGAAAGCAGGTCCGTGGCTGCTTATGAAGATCATGAAAAGAGACAGGGACAATGGACAATATGAGAGGAGAAGACAGGATTTTAACCTGGAGGATGTTAGAGTGGGCACACATAAGCCAATTCGAACTCAGTTATCCTTTCAATATGTGTGCTTCATTATGGGTTAGCGACATCCCAGCCAGTCTCAGAACAAGGATACAGGAGACGCATTGGAGAGTTGTTCTTCATTTGCTGTCTCCTGAGAATGCTCATAAAAGCTGGGCGCTTGATATCGCCCTGGCCAACACAGAATGGTGCAGCCCAAAGGGAAAGGAAGCAGGGAGGGAGGGAAGGAAAGAGGGAGGGAGAGGCAGTACTTGGGAATTCAGAGATGATTCCTTCACCTCCTGGAGCACAGGCATCTTTCTATGTAAAATAGAAAGACTTCTTGCCACTTTGCCTTCTCTATGTGGGTGATTTGAAAAAAAAAGCAAGAGTCTTCAATTAACATGTGTAAATGACCAAATCTTCGTGTCTTCATGCTAAGCCCCGCCAAACACTTGCAGAAAGCCCACTGTCAGACGCCACATGTCCAGCCCGAGAAGTATCAGGAGCCTACACAGCCTCCTTTGGAACTGGCTGTCTACCTCTGCCACCCTGTTGAGTTTCCACACTGAATGACTCTGAGTCTTCCTTGGCCCTTCAGTATCTTTCCTGTCCCGATTCCCTTCCTTCTTTGTGTGTGTGTGTGCACGCATGCGTGTGTGTGTGTGGTATGAGTGCACGTGTGTGAGTGCACATGTGGAGGCTGGAAGTTGATGCTGATGCTGAGTGTCTCCTTCACTATTATTTATTTCAATTTAACTCTTTCTTTTCCATTAGTGTCTTAGGAGATGATACACCTTACCCAAACAGCATATTTCTTTGCAAGAAAAACAATAATGCCTCCTAAACAATCAGAATCGAAGTCATAAAATCATAATGTAGAAACTCGAATGGCTGTGTGTTAAGGAAATGGTGCAAAGTGCCTGTTTTAGTAATACCACCTCTTCACCTCCTTCTGTTCTTTGGGATTTTCATCCTGAACGATGTCAAGGTTCTCAACCACTAGTATTGACTTAGACAGGGCTTCTTCCTGAACTTGGGGTTTGCTGATTCTGGCTAGTTTAGTTAGCCAGGTGGCCCTGGGGACCCCTTATCTCTGCTGTGTTGAACAAGGGTTCTGGAGATCAGCCCTCTGTTCCCCACATCTCAGGGCCAGTGCTCAATCCACTGTGCAGTCTCCCTAGCCTTCCTGCCTTCTTTGGGTGACCCAGTTGACCAGATCCTTCTCTCTTTGCATTTTCTTCAGTTCCCCAAGTGAGTTTCTGTGACTGAGGGCCAGGTGTACCCACTCACCACATGGTCAGGGGAACATCGGTGATCAGCAGTTTAACTCCAATTGCTTGAGGTCTCTCTTGGCACTGGGGAGAGAGACCAGTGTTCTGGGAGAGCTCAGACACAGACTGACACAGAACCCTCCCAGCACCCTGTTTGAGGTGAGGGCAGAACAACCCGTGGAGGAGGTGAAATGGCTGCAAGGGAAGAGGCAATGTCACAGCTGGACTCAACAGCAAGGGTATTGGCCAGACGGAGTGAGAGGAGAAAATTCCAGGCAGGAAGCAGAAGCCCTTTCTTACTAGCAAGAGTCATAGAACACATAGAAGATGTGAATGGTTCAGTGTGGACAAAACCCAACAGGAGGTGAGGCTGAGGAGGGTCAGACCAAGATCATGGAAGGACTTTTTTTTTTTTTTTTTTTTTTTTTTGGTTTTTTGAGACAGAGTTTTCTGTAGCTTTGGAGCCTGTCCTGGAGCTAGCTCTTATAGACCAGGCTGGCCTCAAACTCACAGAGATCCACCTGCCTCTGCCTCCTGAGTGCTGGGATTAAAGGCCTGTGCCACGACCGCCTGGCTGAAGGACATCTTTGTGCGTGTGCTGAGGCTTTGGCCTTGAGGCATTGGTTAGGCTCTGGAGGGTCCCAAGTCTGTAGATGATAGCCTTGGGTTAGTCCTTTGAGTTGATTTTTAGGTTCAGGAATGCTTTCTTTCTGACCAGGACTTGAATACCACAACACTGTCCATATGGGGCCAGACAATGCTAGGCCACTCCATGGCTGCCTCCTCTCCACTGGTGACAGCAGTACTTTCACAGTTCTGATGACCCAAGATGTCCCAATACATTGCCAAATATCCCCTCATGAAAAAAATGGTTTCCAGTTGAGTCCTATTGTGCTAGAGTTGGGCGTTGTGTTGTGTTGTGTTTGTTTATTGTTGCGTTCTGTTTGAGGAGTGCTCATTTAGATGGCACCTCTGGACTCGTCTTTGTCCTGCTCTCCAAGGCCCAGCAATGCTTGACTTCCAACCTCCCCATGAGCTATACTGAACAGCAGCCCTTGGCTGCCTACTTAGCCTCACTCAGCACCCAGGGCTCATGCTCTCCGCTGCTGGGGGTGCTGGCTGTGGTTGGCTGTGGTGCACCCACTGCCAACAACTCCGTCTGCTCCTGTCTCAGGCCAGCAAGGCACCTAATTCCCATGGGGCACCCTCTGCAGTGTTCAGGAGGCTTCCTGGAAGGGTTCCCACCTCGAGGTCAGCTGAGACAGAACTGTCCAAGCCTCTTGGCAGTCTGTCTGTCAGTCCAGTTGTCTGCCAAGCCATAGCTTGGGGGGGACAAGTCAGCTCAGGAGGCCTGCCAGGAAAAGAGTACCAGGTCAGGGACAGAGGGCAAGTGGTGGCAGCTGGAACCCATGTGACTGCTGAAGGCCGAGTGTGTGTGTGTCACAGGGCAGAACTGGCCACTGGCTCCTGCCTTGGCTCAGTGTGGAAAGCCGTCACACGACTTGACTTCTCTGTGGGAGTCTTGTGTTGAGGGGCTGGAGAGGGAGGTGGGAGGAAGAGGGAAGGGTTTTTAGGATCTAGGTTGGAACTATAAAACACTCTGGCAAATCACAAGTCGCTGCTCACAGGACCGTGTTGGCTTTGCCGATGCAGAAATTAGGCTGCGGGCACCCAGACAAACCCACCCAGATCCTGTTAGGTTTAGACTTTGGTGGCCAAGAGTAGTAAGTAGAGTAGGGGGCTAGGGACCATTGCTACCTCTTCCAACAACACTGTACAACAAAAGCCGCCTCAGATCCTCTCTCACAGTAGCCCCATTTCCGGGGGGGGGGGGAGGAGAGGGAGAAGGGGGGAGGGGAACCAAGGACAGAGTCATCCTCCAACCTCCTTGTTCCACTTTCTCCCTTCTTCAGGCTTTCAAGGTTTCCTTTTCATTGTTTTAAACTCTCAACCAACAGGTCCCCTTCACTTATCCGTGGTTTCAAATTCACACACCAGTTATTCCTTCTTGCCAATGAGGGGGAGGGTTAAAGGAGCCAGAGGTCCAGGCTGGCTGGGGCTGGGGGATCCTGGGCAGACTCAGGGTAGCTTGGCTGGAACCTGAGTCAGGTGTGATGCCCTGGCTGTGCTTGGCACACCCCTCTGGGCAAGGACAGGAAAGCCCCGAGGGCTCCCCAAGCAGCTCCACTTACTTCAGCCCTCTCGGAGCCAAGAACTTTATTTAGCTGGCCCGAAATCCCACAGACCTGGACCGTCCTCCTGAGCTGGTGTCCTTGCTGGGGAAGAGGACAAAAACTGGTGAGCAGGCTTTGCCCTGGGAAGACAGCCACCTGCCTCATGCTTGCCCAGTGTTTCGTTTCAAGGGCTCGCACTTTTAAAATGTTTAAAAATAACAGTTAGCATGTTTAATCTCATTATATAAGCAGGATATATTCGGTGTGGAATAATTGAGAAACCCAGAAAAGGATAAAGCGGTAAATTCTGTCTTCACCACTATCCCAGCCATCAGCCACAAACCCTGATAAAATGTCGGGATAGTGTTTCTCAACTGTTCTTGAGTTATGGGTGTGCGTACAGCTCTTAAGAGTAAACACAGAATAGACTTGACATAAAAACCACAAAAAAGGATTGCAATTTAACAAGCATGAATCAAAGAATGCAACTCTTCGTATTTTACAGCTCAGTGTATTTCATATGTTAATCAGCCCTGTGAGAGCCACTCAGGTTAAGATTCAATCCATTTCCAGGCCTGAGAACTCCCCATGTCCTTTCTCACTCCAAAGATGTCACCAGCATCCTGACCTCTCTCATTACACACTTGCATTGGGCTACCCTCGAGAGTTGCATAGAGTCATAGAGCATGAACTTCTCTGTTGCCTAGTGTGTAGCATTTACTATAGCCCTGACCTGGCAAAGGCCCTTGACCCTGGTGTTTTAAGGTATGCCGAACAACTGAATGGCTAGAAGAATAAGCCTTGCTCATTGTGTTATGCTGTGGCCTCTTAACAGGTCCCCATGCTTCCCAGTAACCACCTGATCGTCCACTTGGAGAAGAAAGAGAAGGCAGGTGGCTAGGCAACAGTCATGCTGAGAACAGACAATGACCTGGACTGGAGAGGCCGTGGGGAGAGTAAGGAGGGAGCGGGTTGTTCATGCCCCTGCTGTCTGCCTGGCACATGAGAGGGCAGGGCTGGTGCACCAGGAGTAGCAGGCCCCGGGAGGGGGGGTATTTTTAGAAACCCCATCACACAGGGACACAGGGTAGCCACTTGACACTGTGGGTCACCTCACGGCCATAGTGTCTCATAGTTGCCTGCTGAGCCTCTACCCTGGATCAGTCCTTGACTTCCTTCCAGCCCCCCAGGAAGCACGTGAGGAGCACGCTGAGCAGTTTGAGGGGATGAGTGGCACAAAGCAAAGGGACTGTGGTGTTTGCAGAAAACTTCACAGGACACGCAAACACTTCGGTTCACGGAGAAATGGGTATCCCTGTACTGCACCCTAAGAAAGAGATGTTTACTCTGTGGGACCAGACCCACAACGCTGATACAGTAACATATATTCCCCTCGTTTACTGTTGCAAGGTCCACAGGTAGAAAAGGAGCAATTATAGATCAGATCCATAAGATGCCCCTTAGGCTGACTTGTTTGAACACTTGGTCCCTAGGTGGTAGCTCTGTCTGGGAGGCTGTGGAACCTTCGGCATGTAGGGCCTAGCTAGGAGATGTGAGCCATTAAGAGTGAGTTATACCCTAGTTCTCCCTCTGTCCTCTGTCGCTTTCTGCTTTCTGTAGACATGATCAAACCACTGTCCCCTGCTACCTCTGTGCCTTCCCAGCAATCATGGACTAGATCCCCTCAAGCCATGAGCCCAAAGAAATTCTGACACCTTTTTGTCCCTTCTTATCAGATAGTTGGTCACAGTGGCAAGAGGAACAATATGGCCTTCCCACCACCTGGGGCTTGAGGACCTCTGACTACCTTTACAACATCCATCCAGGACTTACCTCACCTTCGCTCATGTAATTATCATCACAACCACCATCATCTCTTGCTGGCCCTTTTAAATGACCTTCTTTTGTCTGCATCTTAAAATATTTTTTTAAAACATGGTCTCACTGTGTAATCCTTGCTGGCCTGGAACTCACTATGGAGAACAGGCTGGCCTTGAACTCAGAAATTGGCCTGCTTGTTTTTCCTAAGTGCTGGGATTGAAGGTATACACCAGCATGCTTGGCCTCCATCTCTTCTTGCTCCCCTTTTCACTTCACTCTATAGCCAGAGAGACAGGGCGTTCTCCTCAGCGGTCACATTTGCAGTGTGTCTGGACCCCGAAGGAGAAGAAGCAAATACTAGGTTGGGATGTAACTGCAGTAGTTGGGCAATGCTGATAGGAAAAGGAGCCACCGAGAAGCAGTATACGGGGAGCCATGCTGAGACCCTGTGATGGTCTGGGTTGTTTGATGGGTGACACAAATCTCTGTGCTATATTGATACAGCGCAGGTAGGCCTAATACCAAAAAAGATTTTTATTACTTGCCAAGATTCATGGCTTCAGATCTTTTCCTTAGGTTCATAATTAACAGGCTTTGGGAGGTGAAGGGGGTGAGGGTTTGGGGGGAGGCGAGGGGAGTGGTCTTTTACATGAATGCCTTTGGAAATACAGGAAATTAGGTCACAATGAGCCATTGAGGTCAAAGACTGTCATGTTATAAATTTTTAACCATAGACAAATAAGCCTTGAGCAAAGCGTTGGAACAGCCAGGGTTGATTAGGAGGGTTTTTCTGCAATGCATGACCTGGCGTGGTTTGTTCATGCTGAGGACAGTGACATAGCAGTCAGCAGTATTTGGGGGTTCCACTTGGAAGGTGCCCACTGCTCAGCTGACTGTGTTGTCCTCTGTTGGCTATGACTGGTCAGACATGCCCAGTGGCAGGCGGGTGGGGGCAGCTTCACGACAGGCACCGGTGCCCATCTGCCACTTTGGAAGGAGGGCCAGATCACAGGGTTGGGAACGCCTGCTGGACAGAGAACTTGAGCTGAGCAGCTGTCCCTGCCATGCTGGCCTGGAGAAGCTCTCTCAGTCTCAGGGAGCTGGAGGTCCCCTGCGGTCAGCAGGTTATATGAATGTCCTAGCTCAAATCAGAGGGAATGGGGAGGTGCTGCTCTCAGACCCTCACTCAGATATGAATACAGGAAGCTGGAAGAGTTTTTCTTCCAGGTTCTAGGACAGATGATGTACCCAACATCCCCTGTGGTGAGGCAGGTGGGTCTTTGGAGTACCCAGAGCCCGGCCTGATTGCGATTGGAACCAAGATTATGATAACTAAGTAATTCTTAGACCCCAGAAAAACTCTGAGACACACTGTCTTTTAAAAAGATGAATAGGCCAAAGGGTTGGAAAATGGTCATCAGCTGTACGTGCTACAAACTTTATCCCCAAAAGCTTTATGTTTAATGTTTTTATCAGTCAGTTGAGGACAGACAGTGGATTCAGGTTTTTCATAAGTGAAAGGCAGGAAGTGAGGAAGGGCTAGCTGAGATATTGGGAAGCGAAGCTTTGGACAGTAGGACCTGACACCCCATGTGTCCCCTAGTGTCTCGTTTGCTCCTGTCTAGAGGTAAAGGCCGAGGGTACTGGGAAACGTTCTAGAATCTTGGGGTTTCCCCACCTTGGAGCTATTGCCTTGTGGAACATTTTTGTTGTGGGGGCACCCTGAACACAATGAGATATTTGGCAGAATCCCTGACGTTTGTCTACTTGGTACCAAAGGTGCTGACCTGCCTCCATTTGTGACAATCAAGTGTCCTGGGGGGGATGAAGCAGCTGCTGGTTTAAATCTATTCCTGTAAACATCACCGTGTTGCCAGCAAGGTCTGAACACGGCACAGAACTCGTGGTTCTTTAAGGAATGAAAGCTTTGCTACATTTTCTCCATACTTTTGCGTACACACCCACACTTCCCACTCTTGCCCTTTGTGGCTTTGTAAAACTCTGGCCTTCCTTGAAGTTCCTCCCCAGCCCACCTCCACAGACGGTCCTTCCAGATGGCTCTGGTGCTAACAACATGCTTGAAGTGGCTTGAATGTGTGGATCTTATTTTATTTATTAATTTTTGCCTTTGACGGTCTGTCTTGCTTTTCTACGGGACTATACACCCCCTGAGGGCAAGTTCCAGCCCTCTCTCACTTTTGTTCCCAGCTGGCCCCAGGCATGGTGGAAACTCAGTGATCCCTGGTAGGTGATGGGGCTTCATGAATCACCACTGATTGGTCACAGGATGTCGAATGGACTAGGCAAAATGCTTGCGTATGCACGAAGCTCCAGTCAAGGCTGTTGTCTGTGTTTAATAAGGAAAGAGGGTCCGGTTCTCCAGTGTTAGGCAGCAGAACATGACCTCATCTCTTCGGCAAAGAACTAACCTATTCTTTTAATCTCCATGGTGCAGAGGTGTGAGTGGCCCCTCTTGTGGGAACCTCTCTCAGGCTCTGCCTTTGAGCAAACCCTGGAGCGGTGGACATTTGGCAGAGTTTCTCTGATCCACGCTAGGGGATAAGAACTCACCAGCCAAACTTTCTGCCTGTGTGGGGAGCCAGGGGCCCGCATCTCCTCGTTCTCCCATGCAAATGTGATCTATCCAGTCAATGGCGAAGCCCCGCCCGCCTGCTGCTCTGAGACTCTTGGCTGTGGTCCTTGCTCCTGCTCTCCCCTCTGCATTGTCACGGGAACAGACTGCGCAGAAGGAAGCGTTTGGTGCTGAGACCAGAGCCAGGGCAGAATGAGGCAGATCCAGGCAATCTGCTCCGCTCCTCCCAAGGAGAGAGGAAAGGCGTTTATTTCTTGCTCGTAACCAAGTCAGCAATGGAAAATCGTGGGAACACCTAAGCTAACCTAAGCAAGGGTCACACACCCTCCAATGGTATACCTCACCTGGCTTTATATGGACCTGTGTGTGTGTGTTTGTGTGTGTGCGCGCGCGTGTTGGGGTGGGTTGATGATGTGCACACACTAAAAGAAAACTCATACCCGTCCAGAATAAAGAGCCATCAGGTCCCGCTTCCTCCTATGCTTAGGTTTCGGCGACCCTTCCCTTCTTACACAGCCTACATCCTTCACTGATGGGGTTTGCCCTCTGTCTTACCAGACTTCATTCCATCACTCTATTCAGAAGGGAGTTTTTCGTACCTCTGATAACCCCTTTGTCCTAACTCTGGTTTTTAGTGTCACTTGGCGTGGGCCCAACCTAGGAAACACTAGGAGAGCCACCAGTTTTACCCTCAGAACCCATTCTCACGGTGAAGGAGATGGTTCTTTCATCCGTTCTCCTTGTGACTCAGTTTGGCTTTCCCTGCTCTCTCGGGCCACCCTGGCGGGCACCGTAGGTGACAATTTGGTAGGGATGCTTTCTCTAGAAAGTTTAGCAGTGACTCCTGAACAGCAAAACTTTTAAAAGGCATGCTGGGAACTTCCAAGCATGGGGACACCACGCTACTTTTAGTCTCTATGTGGCCCTGACCGATTCCTCCAATATTCTCACCACCTCTGGCTGAGCCTCTCTTTTTGTCTCCATATGCCATCCTGTAACCCCACCCCCACCGCACATTTTCCAGCAAAGACTGGTCTCTCGGACATCACTGGACAACTAGGACCAACCAGCAGAAGCCACAATAATACGCCAGAGGACATCTGGTATGACAGAAGGACCTTTTTGCAGTGGAGACATTCAATCACGAGAAGGGTGAGGGGTGAGCGCTCTCTGGGGAAAGGGCACAGGGAGGCTTATGGAGACTTATGGGTCTACTAAGGTTTGGATGAGCTGTTCCACGGAATCTTCCAGCTCTACAGTACCATGGTTGTGACGAAGAGCTTACTGCTGTGTTTACGGGTGAGGAGAATGTCTACTATCCAGGGATAGCTGTGGAAGAAGTCCCAGAAAAAGCTAGTTCCTTCAGTCGGACCGCTGGAGGTCTAGAGAAAGATCAGACATTGGCCCTGATCTGGGATACTGCCACCCAAGAGGAGGGGAAGGCATACATGAGGGGAGAGAATCTCAGCTTTGTCTTCTGGGTTGGAGGACTTGAGGCTCAGAAAGACTTCAAGTGGTTGTGGGTGTGTCCTCCCCATTCAGGCCATGGCTGCATTGTCTAAGACCTGGGAGTATATGTAGTTGTGAAAGTATAGGTATGGAATTCAGGATGTTATTGTGGAACCAGTTGCCAAGTTCCTGGACACCAGAGTAGTCTGTGGCCTTGTGAATATGGAGTGTTGATTTGTATCTCAGGCCTGGGGAGGACTCTCAGAGGCTGGTGTGTCCTTCCAAACTGTCACCCAGCCTCTGCCAGAGCATCTCCATGTTTGATTAAAGAAGATGATGAATGGAAATTATCTGTCACCGGCAGGAAGATAAATGTCATCCTTCCTTCCATTTTCCTTGGGAATGACAGAAAGAGCCACCGCCTTACCGGGCAGCCCACTCTGTCTTTGGGTGGCCTTGTGCTGCATTCAACTGTAGTGAGACCACATAGGTCATAATTTTTATTCCCCATTCCCCATCTGGGAACACAGAATGTCAGCTGTTGTCATTGTTTACAACATATACCAACAACACTAACCACTTAGTGAGTACTACCTACTACTGTGCCAAGTACCAGCTTCGGGGCTTTACAAACTGAACAAGACTGCGAGATATATGAAAAGGCCCCGGGGTCACTGAGTTGTGGATGGGAGGCCCTCAGAGGTCATTGCATCCTAGTCTTGTGTCCCAGCATGTTAAAGCAAGGCTCAGACATTAACCTACCAACTTAGCTCTATAATGGGTAGCTAGAGATAGAGTCCCCTTAAAGGAGACATGCTCACAAGGATATCAGACAACTCCATTTCCCTGCACTTTCTAGTTCTTCACGGACACAGGCCAAGCTAGTATCTTGCCCTTACACACACCCAGAGACATCCTGTAGACCATTCATTTAGTCTAAGGGATCAGACCAAAGAGACATGCTTTGAGAAGGCCAGTGAACACAGAGAGACTTCTCTGGCCACCCAGGGCTGCAGAAGGATCAATAGGGCTCTG